TTGGCGTGCCTGTTCTAGGACATCTTCGGGCAATCCTGCAAGGACAAACCAGACAACGCACGAACAATCAGGGAGTCCGAACGATCGCGAATCTGGAGGTATGGCGCGTTTGGAGATTATGCCCATCGTCGCTCGAACTTCGAGTGCGACGGCTACGTTGGCTGCAGGCGGTGATCCGCTGCCCCGTTGAGCATGGGCGCTCGGTTGCAGCGCAATCTGGTCAGCTGTCTTGCGAAGAGCGGAGAGGGATTGCCCCCGATTCATGCGGGGGACGGACAGCTTGAATCCTCGGGCACAGCAGTTCGTCGCTGACGTCAGAAGCCTGAGAACGTTATCGAGCACGGAAGCATTTCTTTGCGATGTGGGATACCACCTTCCACTCCCTCCTCCGCGACGATGAGGTTAGCCGGGGGTTTTGTGCGATCGACCCGAACCAACTACGAACCGCTTTCTGAACATCCTCGATAACCCCCCCCGAACATGATGCCGTTGGGTCCCTGCCTTTGCCCGGCGAGGCTCATGATCTAGAACCTGCCTATAAGTGTGAGCTGCTTTTAGACGATGGGTGCATTTGCGGTGCGTGCATTACCAGTTGTAAGAGTCTAAAAGCACATCAGATGAACACGCATGGTATTCGAAACGCCGCTCGACTCGCTATCGTGACTAACCAATGTCCAGTATGCCTTTCGAGTTTTATGTCGAAGGCACGTGCGAAACAACGCCTCGAGTATGCGATGGTCCACAGGAGATGCATTACCGATCGATCCGCCTTGGGAATCCAGATTGTTGATCCTCTTTCCCCTGTCGTGCCCTCCCGCTCCGACAGCACCGCAGAGTGTTGGGCTCAACTCCGGCGACGTACTTGCGGGTGCCTTCCTCTCGCAGTTGATCACGAGCTTGATATCCGAGGCGATGATTCGTTTGATCCTGCCCTCGGGGCCATCGAGCCACCCGCCCGCAGAGAGGACCAGACGCAAAGGAGGCCCACCCGTAAAGCACCC